TCACAGTCATTGACCTACTGACTCTCATAGTCATTGACCTACTGACTCTCACAGTCATTGACCTACTATCACAGTCATTACCCTGCTGCTAAGAACAGCATTTACACCACATTTACAGTCAACAAGGCCAGCTGTAGGGTGTCCTGTGGGCTCATGGAGTCCCTGAGGCATCATTCTGATAAGACCCACCCCCACCCCCAAGCTCCAGGTTTCCAAATCTCTTCCCCACCCTTACCACATCTGCAGATAGAACTACTGTCTCTCCTTCAGGTTGTGAGAGAAGGTGGGGATTAGTGAAATGTTCCCCTGTCATTTCTGCATGTCAACAAAACATCTGCACACAGGTTTGGGGAAGTTCATTTCTAGTCCTTTGTGTGAAGAAAGGAAATAAGTTCACTAAGGCCAGGACAGAAAGCAATGTTGAATTTTAAGGAAACACAGAAGGAATTAAATTGGAGTCTCAAACTTAAGACACTGAACACTACAGATGTCTAAAGTCCTCATCCTCTTTTCTTCTAAAAATTGGTTTTCAAGGACATTTACTTGCTTGACAAGACCATTTTTGCTTTGATTTTTAACACACTTATATGGAATCCAGTATATGGATCTTAAGTTAAAACTATTTAACTCCATCCACACTACGGGTATATTATAGAGCAGTTGTTGATAGTCTCAGTGTAAGATAAAGAGCAGGGTCTCACCAGAACACTGTGGCAGACAATGTTAGCCCTACATCTGGGCCTGACTGTTCCTACTAACACAGAACCACAGGTTTGCATTATGTGTGTTAGGGCCACTTTCGATCTTGTTTGACCAGTAAATATAACCATCTGGTAAAGGTTCAGAGACATTCTTATTTTTTGGATAGAAAGTCACAACAGATCTAACTGGAACTACTATTTTTCCCTTTGTCTTTCCTCTTCTTCCATCAGGAGGTATGACAATTACTCTGTTACAAGAAGAAAAGCCAAGGATGAGAGCTGAGGAAGCCAGGAACAACATCTGTACCTCCCAACTTTGTTCCATTAGAAAATAACCCCTCAAACTCGCTCTGTAGACCAGGCTGGCCTCGAACTCCCAGAGATCCACCTGCCTCTGTCTCCTGAGTGCTGGAATTAAAGGTGTGAGCCACCACCACCCAGCTACTTTGTGTTTCTTTATAACGTTGTTGAAGACAATAATAGATAATACAAATTTTGTATTTAAAATTGGAAGTAAATAATCCCAAACACGAGGACTGTCAATCACCTTAACAAGTTTCTGCACATCACTTTTGATGAGGGTCCTATCCATGTTAAAGCCATTGCTTGGATCCAGGACAACAGCTTTCACCTAGAAACAGAGCATACTAAGTAATTTTATTTCATATTACAAAATTAATTCATTTCCATTTTTAGCCAACTGCCTTGACATTCACCTAGTTTTCTTATCCCCCCACTCACTAGTGTTTTCATTAGAGTCTGGAGATAGAAAACAATAAGCATCAAACTTGAATATGGGCCAGAAAACTACATACCAAAAAGGCTGAAAGCAATGGTTACCATTTTAGTGCGCGAAGCTATGGCATATCTCATGTTTTTATTGTGTGTTGTTTCCCAAACCAAGAACACAGAAACCAAATCAAGGGGTAACTTTTAAAATATATATTTGACAAAAAATATACGTTAAAACTTCACAGCAGAACATTATGGAGGTTTCTAAGCGTCCCAGTATCCCCCAAATCCATCACTGTAAATCTACAGCACACTTTACAGACTTGGAAAAGATGTTTTTCACTGACTCATCTGATGAGTTTTCAACTAAAAATCATGTAGGAAAGCTCCCAAGAATTTTAAAGAAAAAAACTTGGTATCATATTTTTAAGGTTTTTGATAAAACAGTAATTTGCAAAATTAATTATTCTTACCATGAAAGCAACCACTGTTTCTGAAGCAATCTCTCCATGGGTTGCACATTCTTGTCCTATTTCTCGTATAATATTCTTTATAACACTTTCTGCTTGAGTGGGAGGCATTGTGGCTAAATAAAGCAATAATTTTTTTTTAGTAATTTTGCTGATTATTTTCCTCCCTCCTTTTTTTCCATTTTAAATGACTTTATTAATGACAGAAAGTAACTGGGACTTCCCCCTTATTTAAATGATGGCACCATCAAAAATATGTATCGTGACATTTTAAAAAAAAAATAGCCAGGTACCATGGGACATGCTTTTAATCCCCGGTACTCAGAAGGTAAGTGAAGACACATCTCTATCAGTTTAAGTCTATCCTAGTCTACATAGTGACCCAGGGTTACATAGTGAGACCCTGCCTCAAAAACAAAATACAAAACAGAAAAAAAATAAATTGAAGCTTAACAGAATTTGGGAGAAAATGAAAAAAAAAAAACTAATCCCCCATCTGTGTAGGCAGCAATAATACATTTTGTAAGAGAAAATGCTTATCAATACGTTCTCTAGAGGATTTTTCACAACTGTAGTATAATTTCATAACTGTAAGAATTTTTTTTTCTCGGACTATTCCATCCTTGGGATATGGACTCTAACAAAAACATTAAAAGCAAACAATGAAAACGTGAGAGTTATGAACCTCGTAAAAAAAGAACTGGCTATAATTTCATCTATTATAAACTAGGAAAGTGGTAATTGCAAGTCAGGGCTCCTGATTTTCCCCTATCCGTTAACGCGGGGACCGTTCAGGTAAAAGGAAACAAAGGCAGGAGCGCTGGGAGCGGTAAAGAAGCCTTAGGCGTTTTGTATGGGAAACCAGCCGGCCTGGAGTCCGTCACATCCATCCACATCTACCCGAGAGACAAGCCCCTCATCTCTTTGGAGGCCAGTTTGCTCAACCGAAAAAGATGGGTGTTGTTATCACCTTCTACAGAACTTCTGAGTATACTGTGGTTAGAAAAGTTCGCGGCTTGGCACAAGTACCCAAGCAACGCGCCAGAGCGAGTGTCTGGGGGACGAGTCTGAGACCGGTCGGCCACACAGCCAGAGCGAGCCGCTCCGTCCTGCGCGCTTGCGCAGAGCTGGAGGCGGACCACCCACCCCTGTCAGTTACCAACCACCAGCACCAGCTTCGCAGCAGTCGGACGTCCGTCTCCTCTCCGGGTACACCCGCCGTTTAGGGGTCAGTTCCCGGGGCTCTGGCCCCTGCCGGAACACCACCCAGCCGCGGCCTTCCTGGCCAGCCCCAGAGCCCTAGCAGCGGACGCGTAACCGTGGAGACCGAACGCGACGCCAAAACTTGGGGGCGGGGCCAGGCCTTGTGGGTGGGGCCAGAGGGCGGGGCGAGCGGAGAGCACGGAGGCTGGGGTGGGGCTCCTGGGGTGGAGCCTTGAGAAGAAAGGTGTGAGGTTTCTTCTCAGTCTCCCAAGAGACAGAACAAAAGAACTAAAGTACGGGCGAGAAAGGTGTTTTCGCTACACCTCACTATTAAGACAATGAAACACGAGTTCTGAAACAAATGTTGGCCGTACCGACGTACTGTACGTGTTAACTTGCTAGCGTGGAAACATGGAAAAACGCGTCCGTTGACGAAAATGAGAAAGCCTGGGGTTCTTGGAGTTATCAATGTTCATAGTTTTTTCAAAAGAATGCTTTCATTTCTTTTGCTCAAAGGAAGACCGTATGCTGGTGCTCCAAAATGCCAAAATAAAACTTTTCATTCGGGAAGTGTGTTGAAACCAGATGTGGTGATGCAGGCCCACACAGTCCTAGCCCTTGGGATGCTGAAATAGGAAAATGCAGTTTTAAGACACCCTGCAATGTATAGTGAGACTCTTCCCCCACCTCCCAGAAGATGCAAGTAAGGAAACCCCTGTGTTTGGAATTGGGATAATTTTTTTTTTTTTTAAGAAGGTAGCACTCTTGGGTTGTCTGGAACTGAACATGTAGACGAGGCTGGTCTAGAATTCACAGAGATCTACCTGCCTCAGCCCCCCGCCAGCACTGACCATGTGCCACCATGCCTGGTCAATGATGGCGGTTTTGATTCTTAAAAATGTTTGTTGCAGGGTTGGAAATAGGACTCAGAGGTTATGAGCACTGGCTGCATTTCCAGAGGACTGGCTTTGATTCCCAGTACCCACAAGGCAGCTCGTAACTGTCTGCACGCTAGTGCCAAGGGAGCCAACTCTCTCTTGTGGTTTCTGCATGTACCAGGCTCATGGGAGGTCCAGAGACATACTCCCTGGCACAACACCCATGCACATAAAATAAAATAATACTGTTTGTGGGGTGAACATAAGGAGCAGTGTTTTTTATTTTTTATTGTTATCTAGTTATTTTTGAGAAGCACATGAAACAACACACCCGTGAAGGTCACAGCCCGCAGGAGTCACTTCTCTCCTACCACATTTCCTGCCTGAGATATCTTAGCCAACTATTCTCGTTACTTTGTTGCTGTGATGCACACCATGACCAAAAGCAGCTTGGGAAGATCGAGTTTAGATAGCTTTCACTTACAGGTGAGGGAAGAAAAGGCAGGAACCTGGAGAAGGAGCCGTGGAGGAACACGGCTTACTGACTTTCTTACTAGCTTATGTTTAGCTAGCTTTCTTTTTAAAATTGTTTTAAATTTTTATTTATGTATTTATTTGATGTGTGTGCATGTGTCTGGTAGGGGTTCCCGTGGAGGCCAGAGAGGCTGTCAGATCCTTTGGAGATGGAATTACAGGCACTTATTTGTAAGCCGCTTGATGTGGATGCTCTGACCTGAACTATTTATTGTCTTCATGGCTTCACACCAAGTGCTCTTAATAGCTGAGCCTTCTCTCCAGCCCCATAGCTAGCTTTCGTATACAGCCCAAACCCACCTGCATAGGGATGGTGCCACCCACAATGGGCTCTGCCCTTCCATATCAGTCATCAATCAAGACAATCTCTTACAGATATGGCCTCAGGCCAGTCGGATCTGACCAATCCCTCGGCTGAAGGGCTCTCTTCCCAGGTGACTATAGGATGTGTCAAGCTGACAATAAAAACCAACCAGGACATGAACATTATTTCGAAGGGACAAAAGCCAGGCCTAAACAAAGATAAAAAGTAGAACTTAACCGACAAAGTTCTGTTTAATAGTGCTGAGTTTATTTCTCTCCTTTTTCAGACAGGATCTTGCTGTTTTGCAGGATGGTCTCCTTTTTACCATCCTCTGCCTCAGCCTCTCAAATGCTGGCATAAAGGTGTGCACCATCACAGCTAGCCAGAGTTTTATTTGCATATGTGTGTGTGTTATGTGCATGTGTGTATATGCATGCTCACGTACCTGTGGGCACATGGCTGGCACATGTGCAATGCATGCATGTGGAGGTCCACGAGTGACATTGGGTTTCTTCCTTACTTGCTGCCCACCTTATATACTAAACCAATAGCTCCTGCTTTCAGTTAGTTTGGTACTTAGTTGGCAGCAGGATTCTTCTCTACCTCCTATAGGATGAGTTTACAGGCAAACCACCACACCACTGCCTCTTTAGATGGGTTCTGGGGCCCCTCAAGATTGTGTAGCAAATGCATTTTGCTGCTGCTGCTGCTGGTGGTGGTGGTGTCTTAGGGTTTGAAATCTTTCTAGCTTGCTTGCTTTTTTCTTTCTTTCTTTCTTCTTCCTTCCTTCAATGATAGGGATCAAACCAAGGACTCCACAGATAATAAGTTAAGTGCTCTGTCACAAAGCTGAATCTCTGTCCCTACATTTCTTCTGAGATAGAAAAGCCTAGTTGGGTCCAGCTGAGGTCAGCCAACCCCAGCCAAGCTGAACATGTGTGATGAGTGTTAGTTTAAGCCGCTGGACTTGGGGATGGTTTAGTAGAGTCTTACAGTTGTAGTTTATTGGTAACCTTTAAATGATCTAAATTTTCATTTATACTACAGATAGTAAGCTAGGCATACTGGCCCACAGCTATGATCCCATCATCAGGGTTCAATGCCAGCCTGGGCTTTATAATAAAATCCCACCACAAATAAGCATCTACTACTGTCATGAAAAGTATGATAATGCTCGTAGCACTTGGTACGGTGTCTATAAATAAAATATGGACTTGGGTGCTATTATCATCACCGTTATGACAGATTGGACTTCTAGTATTTGTGAAACTAATTTTTCCTTGTTCTAATATGGCATCAATTTAAAAAGAAGCGCAAAGAAGCTAGAATACATTAAGAGAATAGTAAAAAAAAATCTTGTCAGGAAAAATGAGAAGGAATTGTATATGTTTTGGGAAAAAAATGAAGGCAATAAAACTATTCTTTTTGCTAGAAAAGAGTCTGGGCTTTGCTTGTTTCAGAAGACCAGGTTAGAAATCTACATACAGTGATGGATTTAACTTAAAAGAAAATAAGTAGGACTGACAAATTTTGAGTCAATGCTATTCTGTTGGAAATTTTTATCACCAGCTAAAGGACTGAGGAGGATGGGTGTGCCAGAGTATCCCAGAAGCAAGCCAGGGAGAGCTGGAGAGGTGTGCCAGGGAAAGCTGGAGAGGTGTGCCAGAGAAAGCTGGAGAGGTGTGCCAGGGAGAGCTGGAGAGGTGTGCC